ATATATTTGACTGATATCATTCAATAAAAGGAACCAGAAATTTCCATCTTCTCATCCTTTTAGATGCGCGGTGGAGAGTCTTGGAGCTTGCTTCTGAAGAGTTCATATGGGCAATGAAGTGAATTTGTGCCGAGATCGGGATTTATCAAATTAATTGTGGATATTCTTTGGGTTGTGCAGATCATTGATTGAAATTGAAAAGTTCTAAGAATTAAACTGAAACTGGAAGGATTTGATGTTAGTTTGCACTTGTGGTGCTGTGGTATGTAACGGGTAAATTGGAGGTTTTAGTCTGGACATGTAATTGAGGGATCTGGTCGTGGAAATTGGGGTGTACCCACTGATGAGATTGCCCTGTAAACTGAAGAACCTATTAATGAAGGAGAGAAGAAAACTGATGCTAAGAAGGAACCAGTGCAAGATGATGTCAGTGATGCTAACAAGGAGTCTTCTGCAAATGAACAATAAGAGAAGGAGCCTGAGGTGAAGGAGATGACTCTGGACGAGTATGAGAAAGTACTGGAAGACAAGAGAAAGACACTGGTCGCTCTTAAATCAGAGGAAAGAAAGGTCAATTCGGACAATGAACTTGAGTCCATGCAACTTCTGTCCAACAAGAAGAACGAGATGAAATCTTTATCAAATTGGGTTCTGATAAAATAAAGATGAGGAATATTGGGATGAGTAATAATTAAATTTTGTGGTGGTAATATAATTACCCATTTTATTTTCCAGCTTTTTTTTTTTTCTTTCTTTGCAATTGGAAATTCTTCTAGACACAATGGTAAAAAAATTTCTTATTTTTATTGACAATTTTCATGTAAAACAAAGTCAAACGAATTATATTCGGTATGGTAAAAAAATTTACCTTTTGACAATTGGAACAAATTCTAGACCCAATGGTAGAAATAATTATCACTTTAATAACAATTTTCATGAAAAATAAAGTCAAACGGACACCAAACTTTTAACATTTTTCAGGTGGAAAATTATACCAATCAAACACAATTAATTACAATTCTCAATAAGACATTTTTTAGGCAATTCAATTCCATGTAAAATATTTTCTTTCCACTCATTTTTCACCCTTGTAATGAAACGGACCCTAGTTCTTGTGCATGTATAGAGTAGGGACCCACCGACAAACTCACATCGAGGCGTGGGACCCACTCAAATAAAAATAAAATAAAAAACCAAATCTATACGAGTTGTCGACGGACTCTTGTACGTGCAGAAAAACTCATGAAAACTAATATATGACAGAGTAAATGTCACATTCCAAATAATTGAACAAATCGCAATTGAAATGCAGTTTGTTACTGAACTATAATTTTTAATTGGATATGACTTTAATTTATGCTTTCATTGACACGTTTACTGGATACCAGTCAACGCAACGCCTCAGAAAGCAATAACTCATAAACCCTAATTGATGAATTAAATTTCAAAATGGTGATGAAAAATATACGAGGTGTTTCCAGGATCAAATGGCATTGAATCGCCATTGATCAGTATAGCCAGTCTCTGTTGCGTCCGAGTCATTATGCCAAGAGGAACCAATTATCTCCCAGAATTGGTAATGGACGC